GGTGCTTCTAGGGCAGTTTTCGCTTTTATTTTGCGCGTGCTGTGTCCAATTTGCATTATGTGTTTTATGTGTAGTAAAGTGTATTTACTACATTTCAAAATGTGTCCTGGGTAATTTTGTGTGTGTGTGTGTGTCTTGTGTCGTTTTGTGTGTGTGTGTGTGTGTGTGTGTGTTTTGGGTTTTTGACTTTATATCTTAACAAAGATTTACTGACACAGCCAAACTTTTTATTCCTTCTTTGCACCTCGCGCATTCTTGATCACCACGGGCTTCTAGCTCTTGGGGATAGCACATAATACAATATCAGACACCGAAATTCTCAAAAGGGCAAACGCCGAGAGTCTGTTATCTAAGCTCAAAAGGACTTAACTTCGCTAGGCTAGCCATGTTGTAAGAATGCCTGACTTCCGAATCCCTAAGGCAGTAATCTATTCTGACCTGTCACCAGGGAAAGGCAAGGTTGCCCCCCAATAGCTACAAAGACACTCTGAAAATGTCAAAGAAGGACTTTAACATAAATAACACAAATACTTCAACATGGGAGAGTCTAGCTCCTGAAAGACCCAGCTGGAGAGCAGCAGTCACAGTGGACAGCAGGGGCTTCACGAATACGATGTGCTGAAAGCAAGAGAGAAGCCCACTAGCCGCGCACATCCACCAGTGGAAGTGACGCTTTTAAATGTTCAAAATGTGGCAAACTTGTCTCTACTGGAATTGGTCTCATTGTACACAGCAGAAGCCACAAGTCATCGTGATCTTCAGTTCTTTTTACTGTTCTTTTTCGTTGGACATTCTCCTCGGCGGATGTATTGATGGTCATCGTCAGAATTGACGCGCTAGCAATAAACGTATCTTGTGTAGTATTTGCTGTCTGTGTGTCTTGTGTCGTAATTTACTTTTTGTGTGTCTTGGGTACTATTTGCTTATTGTGTGTCTTGTGTGGCAATTAAATTTTTGCGTGTCTTGTATAGTAATGTACTTTTTGTGCGTCTTGTGTAGTTATTTACTATTTTGTGTCTTGTTTAGTAAGGTAATTTTTGTGTTTCTTTGATTGGAATTTACTTTCGTGTGTCTTGTGTAGCAATTTATTTTCTGTGTTCTTTTGGGTTGTATATGCTTTTTGTGCCTCTAAGGTAGTATTTTGTTTTAAGGGGCAGGG